TTGCAGATAACACGGGAAAGTATCCAACAGCGTGAGGATTCTCTTCTAGGAGGCTGGCACACTGAAGCCTCTATGGCTTTACTTCCTGGTTGGGATGAGTGCATGCCTAAGTGCCTAAGTCAGTCCTGACAGCATGCAGTTTGTTTGTAGCCTAGTGGAGGGTTGAAGTCTTCCCCAACTTAGGACAATGATCAGAAATGCCAAAGCCTGGGCCAAAGCGCGCAACTTGTATCGTAAAAACCCAGTACATGGTGCTGAAGAGTATCGCATACCATCAACGGAAACTTTTTCCCATTCGGATATGGAGCGTTCTTCGACCAGAGCAAGCTGCGATGCGGATGTAGAGGACCCAGTGCTTTTGTGATACTGTATATCCTATGCTGACACTCTTTTTGGGGTGAGGATTTTGGAAACATCTTCACTGGTGGACCCACTGTGGACCAAGCCCTGTCCCTGAACTTAGTTTATCGATCAACCATGGGATGGTGGGGTGATAGGTTGGTGGATTTTTTTTGAGGTTGGAGCGTGCTGACGGCACACTTCAAGAACCGGGGAATCTTCCTGGCAAGCGTGATGGCTTTCCTGTTCTTCAGAGTGGACATTGCCCCCCTCAGCCCTTTGCTTGGAATTTGTTGGATATATCTCCCACTGGTTTCTGAACTGTTGCTTGTGCTAGTTTGAGGCCTGATTCCAACGTATGTCGAAGTAGGGGGTCGCAAGCTTGACAAGTGTGAAGATGCCAAGGAGTCTTGAGTGCTTCCATAGAATTCGTAGGAACTGCTGTGAGCTTTTCCACTCACAACTTGAAAGCTTCTAGGAGAAGTTGAGCAAGATCGGAACGGATCGAGCTGGAAAGTTGATTTCTTAGTTCAAGATTGTGTCACCCAACTCAAGAATTTACAAACCAAACAGTTGACCCAGGATCATGTCTGAGCTGGAGGGGAAGATGAATGAGTTCCGTGCTGCTTATGATGAAATCTAGATTTTAGAAGCTGTGAAGTTTTGGGGTGTGTGACCTAGGAAATTGAAACACCAGATTGCTGGCAAGTTTGTCGCCCTGGCAAAAGTGGATGTTGGGCTGAACAACATCATGCTGCGTGCAAGGTCAGTTGCACTTTAACTACATGCCATGCATAAACCTTCAGTTGTAGAATTGTCAGGCCCATATGCAACTTACCTCCTCCTGCCAGGGCTGTCAAGCCGCCCAAGACCGTGAAGCCCAAGGCGCCAGCTAAGAAAGCCAAGGCCAAACCAGCACCAGCTGCAAAAGAGGAGCCTGAAGAGGCAGCTGAAACTGAGGAACCCGAAGCTCCCCGAAAGAGGAGGAAGCGTAAAGCGTAGGTCTCCAAGATTGGAGCTACAATTTTGAAGTGCTGATTTACCATGGATCGCATGCCCCCAGCATAGAGCAACATGTGTTAGTGGCTCGGGATTTTTGCGACTGTCCTGTTGCCCGCTGGTGTGTCTATGATCCACTGAAGACTCAAGAGCAGTAGCTGCAGTGTGAAAAGGCTCTAATACATTGTGCCTTCTTTAAACTTTCAAGTGCATGGCCCACATGGCTCTTTTTGATTCTTTCGGGGTGTGTGGTGTGCAAACCCCAACTCAGACTTTGCCAGGTCAAGATGAACAGCTGCATTTCAGGGAAGGCTTGGTAACATGTGCCCACTAATTTCTAGAGAAACCTGTTGGAGATTGGGCAGGCCCTGGACTTGGTCTACGCCTTGAAGATGCTGACCTTGATGCCCAGCTTGCGGATGACCTGGCTAAAGAGGTTATGGCAGACTATCTGATTGGAGAACCTTGGATGAGCTAAAGTAAAGTGTTTGGATGTCTGAAGACCATTTTTTTTGGAGAGTCTGAACCCCTGGAGCTGGGTGTTGTGTCTGTGGCTGGAGGGGCAAGTTGAGTTGGCCCTGAGGCTGAATCTGCACACCGCTCTGGCAAAATAGCTGAAATGATGTGCAGACTTCGAAAGACTAGACACTTTTGTTGGATTAGCACTATTTGGTTGTGTTTCCTCCAAGCTTCTATGTTATGGTTTGTTGGGTATATGTGTGTGTGTGTTTCGGGGGTGCCTTTGATTGCTTTGAGAGTATAAACTTGAAAGGATATCATGACACCTTGGAGAAGCTGTCCAAGATCTACAAGAGTCAAAAGAATGCTTGCAGAATGCTGCACACCCTGATAGAAAAAAGTGGGGTGTGTTTACCACTGGAGATCAGCTGTGCTCAAATCTCCATTCGCCGGATGAAGCCACTGGGGGAGTACAAGGCTTGGTGGCCATTCATTACAATGCAGACCTGGGTGAGCTTTTTGCTGGAAAACTTCCCCCACATACTTTTGGGTGGACACACTCTGGAAGAAGTGAACGGGTGGCAAAGGCTTCTATATGACTTTTGGCGTGTCTACAAGGACATCAATCCTGGGCACCCGGTGTTCTCAAGTGACCTGGACACCAGGTTCCTTATCCCCTATGTGTTTCATGGGGATGAAGGACGTGGATCAAGCCGTGTTCCATTCCTGGTTTTGTCATTCCAGCCCTTTGTCTCTCACAAGGGAATGAGTGAATGCAATGATTCGTCGTGCCTTGGACCTTGCCATTGTGTGTCAACCCTTTCCTTTTTGATTTTGATGGCTCTTTGGTGTACTCCAGTATTTTTTTTGGAAAAACACATGCAGCAAGGCATTCATTCACTACCCGGCTGCTGCTGACTTGCATCCGCTCAAAGCTGTATTGGAAGGAAGAGACCACCGATGACCTCTTTTCTGAGATTGCCCGCCAAGCATGTGAGCTTTGTTGGGATGGAGTCAAGGTCCTTTAGATGGATTGGGCTACATGTTGATTCCATTTGATTCCCGATGATTCCCCTAATTATAAATTGTAGCAGCATGAGAAACAAAGTGAGAACCATGTGCCACACATTGCCACATGTAAGGTCAGCTCTGGCCAAACATTCCGCTTTATAGCCCTTGGTGTGAAGGGTGACTGGGTCTTCCTCAGGAAAGTTCCTTGAAGGATTCAATAACGTTTTTGGTGGTTTGGTCATGGTTGGTTTTGGGGGTGGGTGAACCAGGAATGCTTCTGTAAAGAGTTGAGGCCTACCACTCAAATGCTTTTGGGTGTTTTGGTAATGCTTGGTTTGGGGTTGGGTGAACTAGGAATGACTTTGCCAAAAAGTTGAGGCCTACCACCTATCCACAGGGTGGCAAGCGAAGCGGTTATGCCACCTTTGCAGTTCAACTGATTGGCGCAATCCCACTGACAACTCTGACTGGCATCGATCTGGAAGTGGGGACTCACCGTTCAAACCAGGTGACCCTGCCCCGTTTCTTTCCATCCCTGGTTGTGACACCGCGACTGCTGCCTGTTTGGACTATTGCCACTGCTTCCACCTTGGATATGGTATAGACTTGGGGGCATCTTGCATCGTTCTTTGTGCAAGAGTGGGGGCTTTTGGCCAGGACAGGGCCCTGAATACCAAGCTTGAGAATGGGTTCAGGATGTACATGGACTGGTGCCGCTTGCAACACAAGGTGACAAGCCTGGCTCGTTTCTCCAAACTGGATTTTGACATGCAGTCGACGCTTGCTTTGTCCAACCATGAACGTAATATGTCTATTTCACACCTCTCTTGTCACAACAATTTCTTATGAATTCATACCAGCTAGTGTATGTATCTGGTCCCAACTCCTGCCCAGCCCTTTCAGGAACAATGACTGGCCTACAAGTCTCGGCGGCAAGGCATACGACACTGCCATTGTGCTGAGCTGGCTGGGTGAGTTTATGAACTCTGATGATTGCGACCTGAGTCAACTTCCTGAAGATCTGGCTGATATTTGGGGTGTCGCCAGGTATACAGTTGCTTGCGCGAATGGTTTCTTCAGGATTTGCCGGAAATCTGGCATCTTCCTACAAGGGGATCTTCGGTCAACAGCACTTCAATGTGGAATGGACATGAACGAGACATGGCTTGTTGCCTCTATTGTTCACTAGGGCAAGCTAGTAGATGATTTGCTGTTGCTTTGAGCCTGGAGACCTGAGGAAGGGTTTGCTCGATTGGCCACTATGTGTTTTGACAAGTCCCTCAAGCTCTTCAAATTGCGCCCAAAATTCCACCTTGGATGCCACATTGTGCGCTCTCTCCGAGATGGCGGTCAGCAGGGATGCTTGAACCCTGTCAGTCACTTGCATCCCTTTTAAATCCTTTTAGCATACCCTTGATTCCTTTGCAACCCTGACCAATGTAGAGGGTAGAGGGTAAACTGTGTTGCTTGGATACGTTTGGATGGGTGCATCCTAGGTTTTGGCTGCTGGCAGGATGAAGATTTCATTGGTCGGTGTTCAAGGCTTTCTCGATCATGCCACCCTTTGCTGGCATCAACGAGAACGATACAGAAGAGCCTGTACATGTACATGGAGCAGCTGAAGAAAATCAGCTGAGTGTCCTACAGACCTGCTCATTGCAGAAAAGATGCAAACGTTACAGAAATGGTTCAAACCGTGCAGATTGACCCAAACGACCTGAAAACCAAAACGACCAAAATATATTGCCTTTTTGAGGGTAGAGGTATACTGTATATGTTTATATATAGTCGTTGTTGAGTTGTTGAAGTTTGTTGGTGTGTATGCGGGCAGTAATGTAATTACTGCAGCAGGCTGTGCAGTTGTGCAAAGTTCGAAGTCCAGTGTTAATGGTCGGTTGTTTGTTTCGTTTAAGTTTTTTTGTTCTACAACATGAGTTTCGATGGGTAAGGATCCGCCGGGAACATTCATTTGAAAGGATGACCCTCAAAGTACGATGGAACATGGAGAATAATGAACATTTTGGGGGGGGCTCGTATGTTGTGTACTGTATACTGTATTGACCTCACAACAATGTTAAAACTTGCTTTTATTGAGGAATAGTCCTACCAAATAGGGATCCCAGCCTCTCCACCTGAATAGCAGGCAAATCCCCGTTCCTCAGGGTCCTCCGTGACGTGCGCCGTTGGTTCAGGGTGCTGGTGTGGTGAAGCCGGAGTCACCGGAGGACCGCCAGGCGAGGACGAGCCGAGCCAGGTCTCATCAGGTGGTCTGAGGACTCAAAGTGTGCGGAGGCAGAGAAGAGGTGAAGAGACTTTGGTAGGGATGCAGTGCTGTTTTCTTTTTGACACCCCCTATAGATCTAAAAGATCTAGAAGATGTATGGAGCGGAGGTTGGTCCATCGATCAAAGCATCCGTCATGGGACGAGCTAGGGCAGCGCAATTGACTGCAACGGTGTGGCCATCCGCGACCCTGACTTGGGCCAATCCCCTTCAAGTCGCCATTCGGCCGTTCAAAGACCCTCCATAAACAAGGCCCTTGGAACACTGGCTAGAGGGGGTGTCACGACTGAAGCTTGTAGCTGTATGTAGAGGCCTGGATAGAAGGGCCATTTAGACCATGAAAGACCACACCGCTTGCTTGTCGGCAATCCCTTAGACCGCACTCTCGCATCCAAGATGTGCCAGCGCTCCCAAATCTGCTGAACCAAACCACTGAACCAACGTGCACGGGCGGTAGATCCTTGTCAGTGATGTGCGGGGGCCTGGGCTCCCCAAAGGCAGTGATCTCAGACATCCTGCTGGCCATTGAGATGTACATGCTCCCTTGTATTTACTCAGCCATGGTGGTGGCCAGAGATGAGGCTGGAGACAGACATGTGGCACAGAAAACCAGTTGAAAGCTGTTTCTTTGGAGGTCTGACATCGTTCGAACTGTTGATACTGGCAGACATGGCGGCACCCCGTCAGCACCCCCATGTCGGACCTCCGTCCGGCACCTCCACCGATCTCCGCACATCCGCGCGCGCGGAAGCGGGCCAGGCCATGTACCAGTCCATGGCCTCACAGGTGGGTCGGTCTGTTGGGTCCGTTTGGGCGCCTGAGTCGGAGCCGGAGCCGGGTGCGGTTGGACGTGCCCAGTCCCAGTCCCACCCCAGTCCCACCGGCGCGGGGGCAACACGGTGGTCCAGAACACTCCACCCCCCTAGCCGAAGAATGTATATTTGGTGTATTGCTTGGAAGAAACACAAGTACTCATGAAGTCGATAGCAGTTCATCTAAGATGACACGCACAAATCGAGAAGTGTCTTTTACAGACCGCTAGTTGGCCCGAGAAAAGCTTCGCATGGTAGCGGAGCCTGCGAAGCCGGTCTTCCCCGTTGGGGGACCGGTGGAGGCTCCTGGTTGCCTGACGCCATAGGCGCTTGGCTGGTGGGGACTACGTCCTAAAGCCCAAGGAGGTCCCGGAATTGAAGTTCGGTGGCCATGGCTGGTCAAGGTGAAGCGGTTGGCTCACCGACTTCGGCTGCAGCGGCCATGGATGGCCAGGAGTTCGCGATGAGGATGATCCAAGCTGCAGAAGCGGCATCCCTTGCCGCCAAGACGGCCGCAGAAGCCCTGTCCAGGAAGAATGCTGGAGAGGAATCGTGGTTCAAGGTGCTCCCGAAGCCCAACACCTTTGACGCCAAGAACCGAGAAGAAGAACTCACCCAGTGGAGGGATTTTAGTTGGAGCCTTGAACAATACCTCTCGTCCTTGAATGGCATGTTCACTGGGGACTTCAAGGACATCCGAGCTCGACCTGATGATCCCATCGACCCCAGCATCCAATCTGATGAGGAGAAGCAGAGAAGTAAGTTCCTCTACTCGCTGCTGGCGTCTTTGGTGAAGCAGCGCCCGCTGGCTATGCTACGCCAGGTGAAGGAGTCCAACGGCATGGAAGCCTATAGATTGCTGGTGCAAAGCTTGGAACCAGCATCGAAAAATCGCGCCCTCGGCCTTTTGACTATGATCCTGGAGTGGAAGCCCTTCGAAATGCGGAAGGGAAGCATTTTGGGCCAGGTCCTCCGCCTCGAAGAGGCCTTTGTTGAATATGAGAAGACGGGCTCGAAGTTGGAGGACAACATCCGCTTTGCTGTCCTCATGAGGTGCATCGGAGGCCAATTGAAGACCTGGCTACAACTCAATGTGGCGGAGTCCCAGGACTATCAGAAGCTGAGGGAGGCGATCATACAGTATGACAACGCCACCATGAAATGGACGAATGTGATGATGCTTGGAGCTGAACCCGGAAGCTCTGATGGAGCCATCCCCATGGAGATCGACCGCATCAAAGGAAAAGGTGGTGACTACTCCAAATCCAAGGGCAAGGGCAAGGACTATGAGCGGAAAGGCAAGGGCAAAGGCGATGTGAAGGGCAAGTCCAAGACCAAGGGCTATGGCAAGCAACCAGATCCAGGAGGCAAAGGTCAATCGAAAGGAGCTGGCAAAGGTGAAGGTCAGAAGGGCCAGAAAGGAAAAGGTGACTCCAAGGTCTGCTACACATGTGGCAAAGCTGGCCATATCTCGAAAGATTGCTGGCAGCGCTTGAGGCAAGTCAGCGAGGAGACCACCAATGCCAAGGCCAATGCAGAGACAGGAACGGTTGCATCAAGTCCTACCACTGCCAGCCAGAGCACGAGCTGGAAATCGGGCACGGTCAAGAGAGTCCAGGAGGTTTCACACCCGGAATTCGAGAATGAGCCCATGATCTTCGATCTACGGCCAATGTCAATGGCAAGCCTGGACAACAAACAGGTCAGGATGGTCCAGTTCTTCTCCATCTCTGAAGAGATTGAGCCCAATGACGATGAAGACAAGCTGACCTACAACATCATGACTGTGACGCAGCAGCACCATGGCATGGAGAGTGGGGGCCCGGTGAGTGTGATCATTGATTCAGGTGCTGACGCCACGATCCTGCCGAGTTCGTTTTTGGATGTTGGCACGGATCTTTGTGAAGGAGCCCCACGGTTGCAGGATGCTCAAGGGGTACCCATTGCAGTTCGCGGGTACAAACAGGTCTGTTTCATCTTTCAGGCCGATGGAGAGCGAGAAGTCCAGATCTTCGACAAGGCCCACTTTTCAGATGAAATCAACCAGCCAATCATCTCCTATGGCAAGCTCATGGAAGCAGGCTGGAACATCGAGGCCGGACGTGATGATGGGAGCCAGCATTGCATGACTTTTGGTCAGGGTAACAGTGTTGTGAGGATCCCATTGCAGCTTCAAAACAGGAGCCTTGTTGCTGAAGGTCACCTACGAGCGGTGGTGGAGGAGCAGAACGAGCCCATGATGGTTAGAGTCTTGGAGGCTCGGTTGAAGGATGACCTCCAGTTGAAGGCGAGGTATCAAGTCGGTTGGAAGCAGGAGGAGAACAAGTGGTATGGTGTCCACTTGGCTAAGAGGCTTCAGACCCCACAATTCGTGGGAGAGATTCCTTTCACGACAGATTGGAAAAGGACTACCCTCGTGAAGGTGAAGGACCAGTGGCAGCTTTATGAAATGTGTGAGAATCTGCATGGTTTGGATAACCAGGAGGAGGTCATTGACGCTGTCGAAGAGAACACCCTGGTTTTAACGATCCTCACTGCAGAAGACATGAGCACCGAGGAGATGGGCTTCGAGGTGGACACTGGTCTGGACTTGCAGCCAAAGGTGGATGATGCTTTGGCTTTGAGGGAACATGAGATCCCAGAGGAAGAGCCGCAACGTGCCATGGATGAGGCTGCAGATGATGACATTCCTGCAATTGCAGAGGGTGTTGATGGAGGAGGAGCTGAAGAGCAAGAAGGACGACTGGTGTTGGAAGCTGGTCTACCAGATCATGTGGTGGTGAACGACATTCAGTTGACGTCCACCAGCAAGCTTCGAGAGCTACGTGCTGCATGCCATTTCTTTGGCATTAGCCAGTCAGGAAGCCGCTTGAAGTGTTTCCAGAGGATTGTGAGCCACTTGAAGGAGCGTGAACTCAAAGCCGCTTCTGAAGCTGTGGCAGCAGCAGAGTTGCAGATGGCAAGACAGCCGAAGATGCAGAGCATCGTGCCAGTGCCGTCCAAACAGGTGCAAGAACTTCATGCTTTGACACACGTGCCATACCAACCTTGGTGCGAGGCCTGCCTACAGCATAGAGGACGACCTGACCGACACTTGAGGACTGGAGCAGCACATACTGGAGGAATCCCAATCATCTCGCTGGACTTCGCCTACACGAAAGCGGGAGAGATCGACAGAGCCCCAGTTCCAAGAGACCGTGGCCAAGATCCAGAAGATGGAGAGGTGATTGATCTCTATGATCGTGATGAGCAAGAAGGCCCACATGAACCTCGCATCAGAGAGCTGAAACCGGCACTGTGGCTAATCATGGTCTGCAGTCAAACGGGAAGTTTGGGAGCAGTGCCATTGCAGTCGAAGGGACAGCTGAACCTAATGGCTCGGGAGATCATGAACTTTGTGCAGACCCTCGGCCATGTGGAAATTGGGCTCTATGGAGACAACGAGCCCACGATTCGTTCAGTGCTGAGGATTTTGTTGAACAGCCGGCACGCCATGGGTCTTCGAACAAGATTGTACACCACAAAGGTCAAAGATTCAGCTGGAAACTCCTTGGCAGAGAACGCCATACAGAGAGTTCGTGGACTTGCGTGCACCCTGATGCGGGAGATTGCGACCAAGACTGGATTGCAGTTCAACACGAACCATGGGTTGTGGAGTTGGGCTGCAAGGCACTCACGCTGGCTGTTGAACAAGTTCCAAGCCACGAGAGGGACCACAAGCCATGAGTTGGTGCATGGCAAGGCCTATACTGGTGCCTTGGTTCCCTTTGGATGCCCGGTGTACGCCTTTGTCAAGCCACAGTCTGGCAAGGGCAATCCAAGATGGAGGATGACGTTGTTCCTGGGCAAAACAGAAGGCCAAGATGCATGGATAGTGGGCGATGGAAGTCAGGTGATGCTCACCAGATCTGTCAAGAGGGTTGACCGACCCTGGAGGAACTTTGGCGCCTACTACCAAAACTTTGCCACTCACACCTTCGAGTACCAGATCAACTTTGGTGGCCGCATCATTCCGAGCAAGAGAGCCGCCAGTGCAGTACCCCTTCAATTAGGACCTGCACCACCTCGTGATGAGATCATTTTTCGATACAGAGATGAGGAGGCAGAGGAGGTAGAGCGCTATGCAAAGTCAAAGGAAGGGCTAGAGGAAAGCCAAAGAGAGATCGAAGAAGCTCGTGAACCTGATGGACGAACATTGACTGATGAGCCTGGAGGACCAGCACCATCAGCCCCGCAACTCGCTGAGCAGAGAGAAGGACTGCAAACTCCCCCAGCTCTTGGTGATCAACCTGGGGAAAGGGGCGCAGGAGGAGATATTCCAATGGTCTTTGAACCACTGCCATGGGAGAAGGAAGCAGTTGAAATGCCTCCTGAAGGGAGAATCCTGAAGAAGCTCCCGCCTCCAGAAGCAGCAGTCAAGGTTGAACCAGAGGCCAAACGAGCTCGACTAGATGGACCTACAAGTGGATCAAGTTCATCGCAGCACCAGGAGATGGTCGAGAGGAGGATCGAGAAGGTGTGCGTTGGAGAGGACACAATGTACCACCTGGATGAGGTTCTTGATGTCGAGGCCATGGACATTGAGGAGGAAGCAGACGACCTCGAGGATTTGGAGCATGGCACAATTCCTGAAGGGCTATGGAGTGATCATCCTTTGACAAGGACACCCCCAGAGCCGGACATCGAGGTCGATCTTTTGGCCAATAAGGTGGAAGAGAAGAGGCTGATGAGAATGAAAGTGCTAGAGCCCCTCACTGCGGATGAAGCACACCTGGATCGATTGACGACCAGATTTGTCCATGATTGGCGGATGAAGAACTACGTGCAAGCCGATGGAGGGTTGAGGAAGAGATGGCTTCGTCGAGCACGACTGGTTGCACGGGAGTATGCAAATGACAAGTGTGACGAGGTCTACAGCCCCGCTTCAGGACAGCATGTTCTCCGATTGCTCCCTGCACTGTTCTTGAACAATGTGGTGATGAGTCAGGGTCTTGGAGATCAAGGACCACCGATTCTTGGAGCACTGGACATCAAGGATGCTTTCCTGCAGGTGCCTCAGGAGCGACCATTGCAAATCACCACGGCCACCGGTTACTACAAGGTCTTGAAGAACATCCCCGGCCAAAGAATCGGTGCCAAAGCTTGGTATGAATTCTTACGGGAATACATGGAGAAGGAGCTTTCGTTCACCTTCGATGTGGTGAATCCATGTTTGGGAAAGCAAGGCACCGGAAGCAGTTTGGTTTGCGTCCTGGTACATGTTGATGACGTGATGTTCACTGGACGCCAGATCCCTGTGGAGAACTTCGTGAAGAGGTTGAAGGACAAGTTTGATGTTGAAGTCTCCATGATCAAGGAGCACAATGAGGAGTTCTCATTCCTGAAGCGCAAGTACACCTACGTGCCAGAAGGCCTATTGGTGAGGCCAGGACAATATGCCATGAAGATGGTCAAGGCTTTTGAAGAGAAGTATGGCATAGTTCGCAAGCAGCGACTCCCAGCCACTTCAGAGATACAGGATGCCGACGGATCCAATGTGGTGCCACAGGAGGATGCAGCGATCTACAGATCCATCGTGGGCATGGGCATTTACCTCGCCCAGGAGAGACTGGATATCAGTTTCGTGGTGAAGGAGCTGGCAAGCAAGATGTCAAGTCCCACTGAGCTCGCTATGCAAAAGGCACGGAGACTGGTGGGCTATCTCAAAGAGACGGAAGGACAGCACATCTTGCTTCCCCTGCCGGTTCAAGGAGAAGGTCTACATGGGCATAGCCATGAGGTGTGGCTGTTGGAGACATTCACGGATGCTGATTGGAGTGGCAATAGAGCAACACGACGGAGCACATCCTCATCCATCCATGGCTTGAATGGCATTGTCATCTACAACACCTCAAGAGGTCAGAAGGTGGTAAGCCTATCGTCGGCGGAGAGTGAGCTACACGCCTTGGTTGCTGGAGCATGTGATGGCATCTGCATCAAACATGCCCTAGAGTTCCTCACCGGTGACTCGGTACATCATGTTTGCTGGGTTGACAACTCTGCCACAAAACAAATCGCCAACAAGCGTGGCGCTGGACGCTTGCGCCACGTTAGTGGAAAATTGTTGTGGTGCCAGGATCGAGTTGCCAGCGGCTCCATGGAGGTGAAGCAAATCAGCACTGTGCTCAACCTGGCTGATATCGGCACCAAACCCCTCTCGAAAGCCAGACTTCGTCTACTTCTGTTTTGGTGCCATGCCATGAACGAAGATGGCAGCCGAGTCGGAGAGCAGGAGCACCAGGACTTTGAGAGGACTCACATCGAGAAGGGCAAGATCATGAAAGTGGCCAAATACCTCAATCGCATCATTCTGTTGAGCGGTCTTGAGCTGGCCGCGGGTTCGAAGCTGGAAGAGAGCTATATGGAGGTGAACTTCACGATCCCCTTCCATTGGATGGTCCTCATGGTGATCCTCGGCTTTCTGATGTTTGCCATCGTGATCCTTTGGAACAAGGTGCAAGCACTGGAAAAGAGAGTGATCTTCCTGATCAACCGCATCGAGATGGATTCCAAAAGCCATCGAGAAGCTGTCGAACAACAAGATCGAGAAAATTCTATGACAGCTGACTACGTGGAGAGGGTGCATAGAGGATTGATCACTGCAGGAGGCCATGTCGAAGATGCCTCAGTCCAGCGGCTTGAGTGGCAAAGCTTGCACTACCTGGAGGAGGTCAACAGGTGGCATGATGGCTTGAAGCTGCGAAAGAGGTGGAGTAAAATGGAAACCATCCAAGCAGAACGTGGAGACCAACCACCTGGATATGGCATTGTCAACATCGATGTGGACTCAGGAGAGCCAGGGCTTAGTGGAGCCACAGCAGTGATTGTCCTGGACCAAGGACGCATCGTGGAGGTCCCGGTGGAGTATGTGGAGCCCAGAGAGGAGAGCCCAAGTGGAATGCAGGCGACGACATCGCCAGTGAGAGAGCCAGAGCCGAGTCCAGGAGAAGAAGAAGTGAGAGATGAGTCCATGGGCAGCGAAGACAGCCCTCCAGATGTAGTTGATGCTGCCTGGGAGCCTGAGGGAATCAAAATTCCTGATGGGCAGTACGCTCACTTTAACAGAGCGTACAATAGGGCTGATCTAGTTTCGAGGGAAGAGCTTCTAAAGATGGAAGCGAATTGGTTCCACGGCCATCGCAACGGGAATCGTGCACTCATGGCCGAAATGCAAGAAATGATGCAAGGATCAGTGCATCATGTCCACAACTTCTACCCATGAAAAGAGGTGAAGTTGGACCCTTTAGAAAATGGTTGAGTGGTGATTTCCAACTCAGCCACTCAAAGGAGGAGTGCTTGGAAGAAACACAAGTACTCATGAAGTCGATAGCAGTTCATCTAAGATGACACGCACAAATCGAGAAGTGTCTTTTACAGACCGCTAGTTGGCCCGAGAAAAGCTTCGCATGTATCTATATGTATCTATGGTGTAGTTCCACGTGTAGAATTATTGTCAAAGCAGAAAAAAGGAAGCCCATTCGACGATCTGTCATGGTGTGCAATCACCGCCCGGACTTCGAAGGTTCCATCATTTTCCATCAAGCTTCCAGCAAGAATGTGAGGAATTGTGTGCACTGGTGACATGCGAATTTGCATGAGATGCCAGTTGGGCCGGAAATCAAGACAGCACCGCGCAACATGATGGTAGCATCGTGTTGCATGTGGTTGTTTGCAACGAATCATGCAGATGTGTTTGTAGCAATTTGTTGAGTAATGTGTTCTCGTGTATTTGTGGTGGTAGCTCTGGCTTGTTTGATCACAGGTTTTGGGGGACAGCAAGCCCACCAACGAGTCATCCGCAAAAGTTTGTGGTGATTCAAGGCAAAACCACTTTTTGACACCCAGTCGCTTCTGTGCACAGGCTGTGAGGCACCTAGCCGAATCGCCCTCGCCCTCCGCCTCACAGAGCCTATAGCCTTCCGTGTTATTCGCGTGGCTGTCGGGCTCTCCGTTCCGGTGCAGCGTGACCGTCCGTCCACAGGTGCGATCGGTGTCCAGCACCTGTCACCGCGTGGTGGTGGTCGTCGCTTGGCCTGTCAGGACGTGGAGCAGCGGAGAACAGCGTCATAAGGGAACGAGCAGAGAAAGCCCAGGGTATGGCAAGACACTTTCGGCAATTCCAGGGTTTGTGTTGGGGTCAACGATTGAACACCATTCAAGTATCTTGGTAATTTTCGTACGGTTATGGGTAGGTTGGAGGCTCATCAATCCTAAAATACATATGCAGGTGATCCTGCATTGCCTTTGGTCTGGGCACCCATAGATACTAGTCATTAGTCTTCCTATGTGAGCTCTGCAGCAAAAACCAAGGTTGGCTGTGCCCATGCCAATGGGCTTCTTCAGCACCTCAGACGGATAGAGAAGCGGCGTGGGAGCATTTCGCATGGTTCCCTGTGAGCAAGTGCAACAAGCCTTTCCAGAAAGTTGGGGACAATACTATCTGAAGACGTTCAGAAAAGGCACCCCGACAAAAAAGGAGGGGAAAGAAGAAGAAAGCAAAGGCCAACACACAACAGGCAAGAAAAATACAGTAAAGGATAACGTCAACCAAAAATTCTCAACATATTTTCCAACACACATGAAACATATTTGAAGCATCAAAGATATGCTAAATATTTTTATTCAATATCCAAAGTGATTCCTTCTGAGGCGAATTAGAATGCATGGTCTTTAAATAGAAAAGATTTGTAATAAACATTAATAATATTGATATAATCTTTATTCAAAATATAAAATATTGTTTATATATATATATAATATAAAATATTCTAATATATATGAAATTGATAAATAATTATGTTAAATGTTTGATTTTTTATTTAAAAAAAATGGTTTTTAATATATGTTCGTATTTTCTATTGGTTTGGTTGTATTAATATTATATAATTATTTAAAAAAATATATGGATGATTTATGACGAATGAATGGAGCAATGAATATTGGTAGTCGATATATTGGGTCGATTGTTATGTTTTTGAATATGATGAAAGTATTTGTTATATATAAGGAAAGCGCCATTTCCAGTTCAAGTGTCCGCGGTCGCGTTTGGGGGACCAACTGTTATGGATCTTGTGGTTTTCCTTCTATAGATTGGCATGGGGTTCTTTCAGATATTCACCATAGCTGCTTTGATCCACCAGATGTCCACAGAACTGGATCTCCCGGTCCCAAGTCCGGGAGGCTTGAATCTTAATGTTCCACCCTTTGTACCATAAGGATTCGAGCCTGGCGTGAGGGTTGCCAGCGAAAGTGCGATGCACTCTTATGCACCTACTAAGACATGCACGAAAGCCAATGAAGTCTGGGCGATGTTTGGCTACGGCCAGTTGGTGCACCGGTTTCGAATAAGGCAGGCGTATCAAGCGTTCGTTTCGCAGGTCATGCAAACGTATATTACAAGCTGGACACATTAGCTACCATGGCAGATGCTTCATAGAATCCGACGTGCCATTTCGGTTGCGAGGTCCTTTGAAGGCTGAAATATAGAGGTTAACACTGCAACCTCAGTCTCGATCGGCACAACAATCTGGTGTTGCATAACAATCTGGTGTTGTGCTGCAGATTCTCTCCTGGAATGCCACAAGATGCTTGAGTTACCATGAATGGTTAGCCTGGACCACGGGCCGACCAGAGGATGTACTCTTGATTTAAGAATCCAACTGGAAGTTCAATGGATAATGGGAAACTGAACATTGTATTGCATTCACTCTCAAGAGGCCGCTGCAAGCCAGCTTATCATGGTCCGCAAAACTTTGATCCGAGCATCCATGTTGGCGTATGCAGTGTTGATTCGAGGCAGATTGTTGCATCTTCGCTTGATACTAGACAGGGTCCATGATGTGTACACAATATATCAGACGGCCTGGAGCACGACCAAGTCAAGCCGTGCCCTGTTGCAAGAAAGGCAGGACCTGTGGGGGAAACTCCGTCAGTGTACTCACCATACTCCTCAAAGCCACATGATGGTTGTTATAGGGGACTTCAATTGTCCGCTACAACGCGATTCGCAATCCATTGGCAATCATGATCCACGCTTTGAACAGGCACTCCAAACCGATAAACATGACTTCCAACTCATGATTCGTGAATTATCCTTGGTTGCCGTTCATTGCAAGCAGAAATACGTACCCACCTTTCTGCATGGTAGCCATCAGACCCGAATAGACTTCGCTTTCATGCGATCCAATCAGATTAGGTGGAAACACATAACTGCTTCAATTGACTGTCGGTTTGAGCGCATTGGTTTGCATCAGGGACCACAACATCGTCCGTTACTCCTTAGCCTTCCCCGGTGGCATCCGATCAGATCCGCTCCTTCGAAATTTGTTTCTATCGATCGGTTTCGAATTCGACAGGAGATGATCGCTGACACAACAGCATGGAGACACTTTGTCATGGCAGCCCAGAGCTGTATCCTCAGACATCAGTCACCTAGACTGACCTGTCCGATTGAAAATTGCTATTCCATGGAACATGATCTTAGAGAATTGTGTCTTGAGCATTTTCCTCGTCAGAAAAAACACTTTTCTTCTGACAAGACTGTGGTATCCCTCACGGCCCGTATGTGGCATGCACGTCGACAGGCTAGACAGGTTCTGTACGTTCATGTTCGCACCCTATTCCACAGTTGGAAACACCTCACCATCTTTGCGCGTTTGCATGCTCAGATTCGTAAATTTGGTAAGATCAATAAACGACTCAAGCTTGAACAATTCTTGAAGGAGAATGTTCCCCATGCTTTGTTTAATCGCATGCACGATTGGTATCGCAACATCCGTAAACTCTGTCCTAAGCAGCCTTTTCGTAAGATACAATTGCATGATAGGTTTGGCGCCCCTCTTCTTCCGCACCAGGAACTAGTTGTCCTTGTTGATCACTTTGGCACAATGTTCCATGATGAGCATTTTGAGTTAGCACCTGCTCCGTTGAACTCCATCCCATTCATTCAGGATCAGGTTGCAATGGGCTTCTCCAAACTTCCTGCTACGAAGGCACTTGCTCCGGATGGGATGCCAGGATTGATTTGGAAAGTCTTCGCACACGACATTGCAGCAGTTGTTTACCCCGCCATCGAATGTGCCTGGACTAAGTCGGGAATTCCCCCCTCACGTTGGGCCACTGGATGGCTGCATCTCCTCAGTAAGCCCAATAAACCTCCCAATCATCCTGTTGCGCTTCGACCAATTTGTCTTCAGCACCCAGTCAGTAAGATACTTTCGGGCATTCATTGTGAACAAGTGTTAGAACACGCACTTCCATCCCTTTGCCGGGTTCCCCTGTATGCCTACCTACCGCACCGCGGCACACAGGACTGTCTCCTGCTGACTTCTGAACACTGTCGACAGGTCAAAGCACTGTGCCAGAACCACAAGAGTGATCCTTCTAAGTCTGGACTGTGGGGTGGCCTCCAGGTATCACTCGATCTTGAGAAGGCTTTTGATGCCATTGACAGAAACTTGGTCCTTCGAGCCATCCAACGATTCGAGATGAACCCAGACCTTCAACTCCTAGTTCAGTCATGGCAACACAAACATAAGTACTGCATACCCCATAAAGATTTAATCGGACACGTCACAGCCAGCCGGGGTATAAAGCAGGGGTCCAAAGATGCCCCTTTGCTGTGGACCTTGAGTATGTACCTGCTCCTCGACCACTTGATGGCCAGTTTCGATCTGCCTTGGATCATTTCCCACATTGTCATCTATGCAGACGACATTCACCTCAGGTGGCTCATAGATAGTTCGGCCTCGGGCCTGTCGGCCCTACATGATCTAACTGTGGTGCTGGGTACGCTCAAGGCTTTCCATTTCAGGGTCAATCTGACCAAAAGTGTTGCCATTATGCGCCTTGTGGGAAAGTCCGCTCAGGCGTTTTTGAAACGATGGACGTCGAGAACAAAAGAAGGACCTCGTTTGCACCTGCCAGATCAATCCTTAAGCCTTCCTCTTGTCAGTAGGACAGACTACCTAGGTGTCACATTGAGCTATCGAGCATTCGATCACGACACCGTTGTTCGCAGAGTCAAAGCTGCAAATGTTTGCTTCCGCATCTTGAGGAAATGGCTCCTGGATCAGCATCATCCATTGTCAATTCGTCTTCGGTTGTATAACCAATGTGTTTTACCCACAGTCTCATATGGCATCCACGAGATGGGGATTTCAACTCGCAGTTTTCAGATGATCAATGGCATGATCACCAGACATCATAGGACCATGACCAGATCCCCTGTGCACCTCACCCGTGAAACCAACACTGCCTTCTATTCACGTATGCACATTGAACCTCCATGGTGCTATTTTGTTCGACAACAAACTCGTCTGAACGACTCCCTGAGTCGACGTCGTGAAATCCTGATCCGTGAAGCCATGCAGACTGGTCAGCAAGATATCTGCGTTTTGACCCCAGCATACCCTGACAACCAATTACAACATGAACCCACGGCTTCACCCTCGTTCTCTCAGGCACCTGAAGTTCTCTCAGGCACCTGAACTCAAATGTCCAGAGTGTGATCGAGCTTTTCATCAGGCAGGACCCTGGAAACGACATATGCGTACTGCACACCAGATTCCCTGCCACATCGAAGATTTGTTTGATCCCCTGCGTGATTCATATGAAGGGAAGGCAACCTGTAGACACTGTCATAAGCAATTAGCTGATATATATCGCCTTAGATATCACATCAATGCCAGAGTTTGTATCCAGTTTGATCCGCACAAGGAGACCATCGTGCCGATTGCTGACCGCCAGTCATTGAGAATGCATTTGCGCTACAAATCCATCCCAGGTATTTTACTGGACAAAGCCCTGGTCTGTGAAATTGCACACCATTGTGTCTTTTGTCACCTTGCCGTGCCTGCTCGCTCCATTCGCAAACACTATGGAGAACGACATCAAGGTCTTTTGGTTTACGAAGCATTGCATCGCGATCAAGTGTATGGCCTTGCCAATCTAGGTAGTGGAAAAGGCACGTGTGTCTTGTGCGCTCAACAATGCAATGATGTACGCACACATCAATGTGGAGTCTTGCTTCAGATTAGCATTCTGCTTGGACAGACATATGATGTTTCGCATTTTCCTGTCATGCCCACTATGATGCGTCCGCTTCGGGCCAACCGACCGTCCTCAGGTACAGGAAATGCAGACAAGCCCGAGACTCCCAGTGAAGCTGCCCCCCTGGCGCCTCAATCCGACACACGGCCGATTCCGATGGAGGTTGATGCCGACACCGAAGGGGCTGGTCAAATTGCTCGAACAACCCCATTGTTCAAATGTCTTGCTTGTAATACCACCTTCCTGACCGAGACAGGACTGATCACTCATCATCAAAAGCATCCGAAGCATGCTCAGATGGATCGTCCACTTGACCAGTCCACATCTGTCCCATCGGGATCCGACCCTCGCCCTGCCAAGGTCACAGTGAAATTGATGCTCGCTTCTCATCCTGATGGACCCTGCCCGGAGCCAGCAAAGATATATAGATGCCCATTGTGTCAAGACTACGTAGGCCGAAAAGCCCTCATCAGCCACCTCCGGAAGTATCATGATGTCCATAGGCCAGATAGTTTTCCCTTCGATCCGGTCCATGACATGCATAGGGGTCATCTTGCCTGCAAGCATTGTCACACCCATTTCACTATGGAGGTGGCCTTGCGCACCCATTTCCAACGAGCTTCATGTCCG